TCTTCCCGGACCGGGGCACGAACCCGTGTCCCCTGCATCGGCAGGCGGACTCTCAACCACTGCGCCACCAGGGAAGCCCAAGGAAAAATTCTTAAAGGAAATTTTTTTAATGTTTTTTTTTGACAATGATCCTGGCTTTTTAAAAATATTTATTTATTTATTTTTGGCTGCGTTGGGTCTTCATTGCGGCATGCGGGGTCTTCGCTGCAGCATGTGGGATCTCTGTTGCTGCATGCGCGATCTTTTTGTTGTGGTGCACCGGCTCTTCATTGCAGCACGTGGGCTTCTCTCTAGTTGTGGCACGCGGACTTCTCTCTAGTTGTGGCGTGTGGGTTTTCTCTCTTTAGTTGTGGCACATGGGCTTCAGAGCGCGTGGGCTCTGTAGTTTGCTGCATGTGGGCTCTCTACTTGAGGTGTGTAGACTCAGCAGTTGTGGAGCGTGGGCTTAGTTGCCCTGCAGCATGTGGGATCTTAGTTCCCCAACCAGGGATCGAACCCGCATCCCCTGCATTGGAAGACGGATTCTGGACCACCAGGGAAGTCCCTCTTAAAGAAAATTAAAAGTGCTATTCCACTGAACACACAACTGATAAGAAAGCAAAACAGCCTTATTGCTGATAATGGAAAAAGTTTTAGTGGTCTGGATTAAAGATCAAACCAGTCACAACACTCCCTTAAGCCAAAGCCTTATCCAGACCAAGGCCCTAACTTTCTTCAGTTCTATGAAGGCTGAGAGAAGTGAGGAACCTGCAGAAGAAAAGTTTGAAGCTAAAACAGATTGGTTCATGAGGTTTAAGGAAAGAGGCCTTTTCCATAACATAAATGTGCAAGGTGAAGCAGTAAGTTCTAACGTAGAAGCTGCAGCAACTTATCCAGAAGACCTAGCTAAAGTCATTAATGAAGGCAGCTACATTAAACAATAGATTTTTGATGTAGATGAAACAGCCTTCTATTGGAAGAAGATGCCATCTAAAACTTTCACAGCTAGAAGAGAAGTCAATGCCTGGCTTCAAAGCTTCAAAGAACAGGCTGATTTTCTTGTTAGGGGCTATGAAGCTGGAAACTTGAAGCTGAAGCCGATGCTCACTTACCATTCTGAAAATCTTAGGGCCATTAAGAATTAGGCTAAAACTACTCTGCCTATGCTCTCTAAATGGTAACAAAGACTTGACGATAGCACATTTGTTTACAACATGGTTTATTGACTATTTTATGACCATTTTATGACCTAATGCTCAGAAAAAGATTCCTTTCAAAATATTACTGCTCACTGACAATGTACCTGGTCACCCAAAAGCTCTGACGAAGATGTAAAATGAGACTAAGGCTGTTTTCATGCCTGCTAACACAATATCCATTTTGCAGCCCATGGATCAAGGAATAATTCCAACTTTCAAGTCTTCAAAAAATTTAAGAAATACATTTCGTAAGGCAATAGCTGCCATAAATA